GTGGTGGGGGGGGGGGGTTTAAGAAAGTTGGGGAAGGAGCGTTCTGGTCAATGTGATGACAATGATATGAGGTGATTCTTAACGACTTAGTGTAATTTTCATTTTGTTTTCCGTCTAGGAAGCGCCAGGGAGACCAACGTGTTTATGACGGTGGCTGCGCCTCCTCTCCTTAGGTACTGCTGTCTGAACGAAGTAATGTATGTAGACGTACTTTCTGCTATTTATAGTAGAGAGACCTGTCATGAAAATACGATGCCACATGAAATTTAAGAAACTCAGTATGGCATGATGATAAACCACAATGGTCTTTAAAATCTATCAGACCGCCTATGCTAAAATTCTTCGAATTCGGTCAATGTCTGGCGTAGATTATTATGAACAAAAGACAGCGCAAACAAAATCACGCTATATTAATTTTTTTCCAGGGAGACGATTCTGAGTTAATGAGTGCGTGGGATTTCTCGCGCGGCGGTTGCAGCTTCAACATGCCGAGGGTAGTCGGCAAGCGCCAATCATCTTTCAGAAGTAAATACACAAAGCCCTAGGCTATCGCTTGCAATGAGTTTTCCAGTCATAAATTATATTCTGTCTAGCTAGGAGGTCGTCACATCCACAAATCCATTGTTTAATCGCGGCTCATTGTTGACGTCATTCGTTTTTGATTGGCTACATACAACGTGACGTACAATATTACACCTGCGGCATATCTTTTGTGTTATAGCATTCGTTACGGTTCAATGCCTGCATCCTAAAATTTCAGTGGGCGGCTGTCATCAAGGTAATACTCAAGTTCAAAGTTTACGTACAATCCTTTCTGTTATGCGCCAATGTTTTGTAACGAATATAGTACTCTAATCACACATACTGTAAATTGCAGTACCACATGGCTTATCAGACAATGTCCAGATTATCATTGTCATAGGCCAAGTATTGGTTGTAAAATAAGTGAATTGTGATCTTGCTTTCATCAAATAATAAAAAATAAATAAAAAAAAAAAAACTTCATCAAAATTTTATTCTTTAGCTGAGCTTCCGCCTTTAATATTATGTAACTTATTATTCACCAAACCCTTGACAGTTTTTTTAAGAAAAACATACCTGTATTAATAGGCCTATCAAATACGATGGGGAGAACATTTGGTTTTGGTTAGTTACATGAGTTTAAATTTGGCCGCTTATGTTTCATGAAAAGCTTCTTATAAAGCAAAACATTAGGCCTGTTATACAAACAGTATAATTGACTAGAACGAGGTGACACTTTCCTCATTTACATAACAAGTGTGTTTAAATATAATAGTGTTGAAACATAATAATAAATGAATGAAAAGATAAAAAAATACTGTTCATTATCTTTGCAAATTGCTGCACCTTTCAATTTACTAAAATAGTTCATTACTGGTGACCATTTTTTCGTAAAATCGAATCTATTGTAAATCAGCGTGAACTTTCCAAAACTCGGTATCATTGGAAAACGTTATTATTTCATCATTTTAAAATGGAAGACTATCTAGTTTTCCGGATTTCACCGTTGGCGGTAGGCTATTGTACACCTTTAAACCGTGGAGGTAAAACAAACGCTATATTTACTTTAACTTTAGCACAGTTTCGCTGACTGTCATCTATCAGTCATTTGACATTTTTGAGGGCTATGTCCTGAGTGTCAAATTCATGTTGTTTTGCGATGAATAAATCATCGTATCCAGGCAGACGGCAGTCGCTCAAGCACGGAATTTGTGATCATTGGTTTTAAGAACTTTTCAACTCAAGATATCTTTAAGGCTGTACAGTAGATCTAATTGCAAACTACATGAAAAGAAACCTAGATCCATATGTTTTTAAAAATGAATAAGCGATAGATAGAAAAAAAAACAAAAACGGATAGTCCTATGCCAAAAAATAATTTTAAAAATGTATACTGGGACAAATTCAGAAAAATGAAAAAAAAAATGGGATTTTTAGAACAATAGATTTTGCAGAGGTGGTTGGTATCTGTAAACAATTTTAAATTTTCAACTTCAAGTATATTTCATTATAAATAACAGTTGTAAAGTACTGTTCATGATGTTATTATTAAGCCTAAGTATTATAGCGCGAAAAGTTAATAGCGCGAAAAGTTAAAAGCGCGCGAATCGAACATCTTGGTTATATTGTATTTTGATTCGATGACGGTTACTCAATTGCCTCTTTAATTTGTGCGGAAATCAAAACTAGCAGACATGTATGCACTCAGTATAAATCAAATCAGTATTGTTCCTTATTCTACTACTAGAAACCCGTCAAGTTTACAGTGCTTCATTAATGAGTTATTATGCGGCTTTCACAGCATTATCATGTATTACGCCAATGAGGTTTTAATAACAAGGGCGATTTGGTCTGTTATGCTATTCACGATGTGGATATCATTTTCAGGCTATAATACGTCAGACCAAAATGATTTTGACCAAAAGCTCAAGAACAGGCAAAATCAATTCCGAACGACCTTCTTCATCACGTCCTATCAATCAATCCATGAGTCATTTATCCGCTGGAATTCTATCCCATCATGCACTACGCGTCTAAAAATATCTATAACGCGTTTAGCGAAAAGGTTATTGACTATATAATTACTTCCTTATCACGAGTTGGCCCCCTTCCAAAAAAAGATTGCTGTTGCCTCCAGACATGGCCGACATGCACCGAAAACACATCCGATAAATGCCTAGATTCCGTTGAGGCTATAACAAAGGCAAGCCCATGGGGGATTTGCAATTTATTTGGTATGCTGCACGAACATACGGTGTTCGTGTTCCATTTTGTATGGCTTCTGTCTACTTCTACTTTTTAAAAAGAGTGTCCTTGCTTTATAAATCCCCTAACATATAAACCCACACAGTTAACCGATGGTTGAACAATAACAGAGAAATATCGTGTTTGCACGAAACTTCGGTAAACGATTTATTCAATCACCACCGATTACATACTTCGACAAATAATGATACTCGGGAAGTTTATTAAAAAAAAATAATAAAATTTGCTTGACTAACTAATAAATCTCAAGAGATCTGCATCTTATAGTATCATATAAGCAAAAATACGGTACGTACATTTTTCTGGTTAATTAATAAAAGCTGCATTAAAAATATTTCTTTGAAATATTCTTGAAATTTTCTATATCATTGTTGCAATTCTCCCGTTTGAAAGTCACTGAAATTCATCTATATTTAAAACTGTACATAATATTTACATTGTTACACTTCAGTCTGCACAGTCATTTCTGTAATATTATTACGAAACAGCTCATTAGCATATGAAAAGCCAATGAAATATATGAGTAGTTAGCAATCTGGCTACTAAAAATGGACTACAAATCCATAACGGTCTCGTTGTTCGCAAATCCACGTTTTAAATCGATAAAAATGAATAATGTCAATGATTTAGGCCTACATCCATTTCCATAAGTTGATGAAACAATGGTCTTAAGGCAACAATATTATTTAACTATTCATAATATTCGCATTCGTACAATAGTGTCTAAGAGTCCTTTTCTCTTTTCACTTTGACGACGGGTGACTCGCCAAGAATAGTCGCTATTTCACCTTGCATAAAGGCCCATGGGGTGTTTGTCCCGACAAGTGGGCACTTCTGACCACCAGGACAATACACTTCAGAGCCAGCTCCTTGTTTCTTGATGCTATCCCGGGAGCAAGGGAAGCAGAATTTGTGTCCTGACACAGATGGACACTGAACAAAATGAGTATCTTCTAAACGTTCATGACACAGAGTGCATCGCAGAACACTGGTAGGTACAGAAGAATCAGGCACACCGTTGTTGTTAGACGAGATGCTAGGGTCTTGGCCTCGATATATTCCACGTCGCTGTGTTACTCCAGGCTGGTTTGGTGACACCAAAATGGGATTTTTATCGCCACTCGGCGTCCCAACTTGCAATGCAGTGGTTGATGGGGCAGAGAGACCAGATTTCATTGGAGAGCTTGCTGGAGTATTTTGCACCAAGTTGTCAGTAACTGATATCAAAGAGGCCATTGGTGATGGCCCCCCTTGTGACGAACTTGCAGAGGCTGGAGGAGAGCTTGATGTTGGATTACTCAACGGCGATACCGACGTTGAACTAGGTGGAACCGAGCCTAAAGGTATTGTTGATGGCCGCTTAGAAATCTCTGGAGTTTGGGAGGGAATCCACGAGGGTAAACGTGGAGCATCATCAACATGCTTCGGGCCAGTCTCTGATTCGGGGCTTGGGGAGGTTTTCCTCTTTTTCAGTTTTGGTGGCATTGTTCTCATTGACGTTGTCGTAATTATTGGTGGCATTGGACAGCTCGCGTCGATATACGGCTGTGGTAACATTTCAACATTCACTTGTTCTTTAAATAATCGTACAGGCTCGGATAGTATATCACCAATGGCCCGCCAATCGCCAGATCCATGCTTCTTCTCATATTCCAAATATTTAAATCCTGATGAAATACCTTTGCCGTATTCTTTCGGCGAATCGTGGTACATTTGCTTTGCTACTCCAGACGCACTGGCATATATATTTCCAGACCCTGTAGGGTATTCTATATATAGTTTGAGTTCGTATTCATTTCCTTGTTTATAAAGAGCATCAAATGCAAAAACACGGCCTTTCAAGGAATGATCCTTTTTAAAACGAACTCCAAAAGGTGTACAATTTGAAAGTGTTGCTATTGCCTGTCTCACTGGCGTTGGTTTTTGACTACAGTCCTCTATACACACAGGGCCACTGATACGATCTGGGTTGTCAGATGGGCTGCATTTCTCCTCTCTATCTCTGTCTGACAAACTTCGTTTAGCTGACGGTGTAGTGACAAGACCAGATGGTGTAATCGGGTGACTCGGTAGAAATGCCGGTGGGAATCCCGGCGGCGGTATAAGTTGCCGTATTAAATTTGGTGTTGGGTGACTCGTTGGTCCTCCAGTCGGCGTTCGTCTGGTTGCCATTTCATGATTATCTTCATGGCTGTGAAATGACGGCATACCAGAACTAACCACCCTCGACTGGGCTAACGACATTTCATGAATCTGTTGGACAGTTCTCGGTCGTGGGTGTTCGTGTATTTGATAGCGGTCAAGGTGTATAGCCCCTGCTAGCGACGACGGTGGCTGGCGAGGGGACGGTTCTACATGATTCACATTACTACTTTCATGCAGTGTAGTTGGTCGAGACGGCACACTTACCACAGTTGGCTGTCCATTCTTAACTGACGGTTTACTATCCTGATAAAACAGATGCGAGCGTTTCATTTGCCTAGCCACATCAATAACTGGCTCGATACGATCAGGGCCTTCATAATTTACACAACCACGACACACTGGTTCGGAAAAATCATGTATCATAGCCCATGGCATTCGCGGTAGATCACACAGGTAGCAATGTTGGCGGTGCATTCTCGCCGCGTACATCACTAGTCACAGTCCGATAGCACAATACAACAGTCAGACGGATTTAGACATACAAGGGCACTCGCTACATTTACCTCCGCCTCATTCCGAATTCAGTCGAAAGTTCAAAACAGATTGTGTTATTCAAGCGAAGCACTACGTGGCGGTGAAAGTATTGGTGGAAATTACACTTCCTGCTCTCGCTTAGCTGCGAACTGGTTCTACGCCTGCGTACTGAGTCCGATGACTGACAGTTAATCCACTTGGATACGAGCGGAAAGGACTGGCATTCAACATGCGTCACTGTTGAGAGGGACACGCTGATGACATTGCATACTACATTGCATGACGTGTGTAGCGGTGGAATGTATGACTGACCTCGACAGCAATAGCGGATATCGGATACGTAAACACTTAACAAACACGTGACTTTATTGAGCTGAGTCACCACAAGCAGTGACTGCTTTCGATGCGCAGTACAAGATTACAATACAATCTTCGTTTTCATCCTCGCTGAAGCGTGACATGTTGATATTACTGAACAATAGAGACTGGATGGGGAAATTTTGTGGCGCAAAACGGTTAAATAGAAAAACAGTCCTTTTTTTTAGATTATTCTTTTCTGTTACGATTCCTTATTCATATTTGCAGGTACCGCAAATATTGCAGCGCTCCCCAAACGTATGGTACAGTAATTAGACCATGAACCTATTAATATGATTAATATTTATTAATAGGTCCATGCATAGACAATGAATATAATATTAATTAATGTTTAGGCATATAGATTGTCAGGGGTGCATCTGGAATGTTTGTTCATCCGTTAACGTTAAGGTCGTGCAGCCGTTGGTTTTGTATGCATAACAAGTGCGCACAAATCAGTCTTTGATAACATGCGTTTATGTTCAATTATAATTTCTGAGCAACACATTGAGCACTGTCTCTTATACACATCTAGATGTGTATAAGAGACGGCCTATATGTTGCAGTACAGTATGTGAACTGTATTGCTTAGTAATAGCAAATTCATCTTGTTATCATAAATGTATTTATACACACATAATAACACGTTATATTCAACGCAATGTATTCCGTTCCAATTAATAAGGTATGTAAATTAGGCCATATTCCATATACGTCATACATATACGCATTCTACACTATTTTCATGTGTTTTAACTTCTATAGCTTTGTGTTTCTACAATTGACGACTGTTAATAGAGCTCAATTGTTCTACTACTACGAAGCCATTTAAGACCGAAAAGACGTACAAATCAGGTGTTAAAATGAATTTGCACTACTGTATTTCCAGGATGTTTCAATGAAATGTCCCGCACACCATGCAATCAATGTGCAATCGTTCGAAAAGACAATGAGCCCGTTATATAAAATGTCGGCTACGATCGAACAACACAATTGTTTTGATGAAGTGGAGTGTGGTTTTACTTTCACATGAAACGCCTGCTTTCACAACATAAGCGGTTAATTTATCAGGCCTAGTTGTTCGTAAACAACAGAAGTGAATAAGAATGATGACGGTGCGGTAACTCCTCCCTAAATCCACGTGATTACGTCACAGGTGACCTCAACTGAACTGATTATGAATCTGGCGATGGGAATTATAAACTGTACTGTTATGTACTGTCATCACGTGTCAATAGCGATTACAGTGACTCTGTTTCCATACGACACAGAGGCCAAGGATGCTAATACTGTACTAATTTATCTCAGGTACAAGATAAACGTCATATCCGGTTTGTATCAGAGATAGGGCACAGCACTGTGTACATCGAGGGGAGGGATTGTGGTCTACAGTTAAGTTAAGAACATTCATTCTGCCCTGTGCCTGAATACCGAACAATACGTAGCCGTTTATTTTCTTTTGCTTCGAGGGTGGAAAAAATAAATCGAATTTCCGTGACCTTGACCTTTCATTCCCAACAGTGAATCATCTCTTTTAGATTATTATGTACCATTCTACTAAATTTAATGATGATACATTCCTTAGTTTTTGCGTTATCTTGCAAACAACAGGCAGAAAACAAAACAAAACAAGATATATTTTTTCACACTACATATGTAAGCCAATGTAGAGCGAATAGAACATCCTTAACTAACAGGAAACTATACCATGGGATAAATAGACCTTTCCGTTAAGCCCCGCCTCTTGGATATTGTTGTTAAAACATACGTGGGCACGTGCGTTTGTGGGGAACACGCGTATTCTTGGCACAAGTTTAATTGACGCTCCGGAAATGTCAATTCCATTGCTGACAATTCACGAGTAACTAGAAGGCTTCAATACACCCTACGAAGTAATTAGCTACAACTGAGTAGGTCACGGAGACCACGTAGTTCATGTCAATCCGATTTAGTTGAAAGTAAGCTTGCGGGGTGTTATCTCAGCTAAGCAGACCCGTTCTCGGCGGATACATCTCGACAGATGCTCTAGGAGCGCTTTTCACTTCCGTCATTGACCTTGTACTGTCTCTCCACACTAGTCCCAAGGGGATGGAGTTTCATTTACTGTACGTTATTCATTTTCCATTTGAACGTTGTGTTCAATTTTCAACATTTGCATGTCATGACTTACTCGTTTAGAAAAATCCTACAAATTGCTGACGAATGTTATGATTACACTTTGGAACTAAAATGCAAACTCACTATTCAATCCCCGGGGGAATGTGAAAGGGTGCGGTTTGTGTTTTTTTCCCTTTCTTTTTAATAAACTATGACCATTTAAACATTAATAGGCCTACATTCTCTTTAAAGAAACAAAGGATGAGGTGAAGCGAGAAGTTAGCTTAATATTTTGGCATGCATTATGATTGAGAAAGAAAGAAAGTATGCGCAGCGGTTAAGTAATAGGGAGCTTTTGATTACACGACGACGGTAGGACGTAGAACGTAATGATGTCACTAAAAGTCATCTGCGCATGCGAGAACGTTAAGGGCACCTCGTCTAGTAGATTTTGGAACGCAATTTGGCTAAATCTACGTATGCAGAGAACGTTGGACGCTGAAGTATGACGGTCACGCATGAGTGGTTCCGTTTTAGCGTCGCGTCGTCGTCGCACAAATCGGAAGCTCCCTACTGTTGGATATTAATAGGAGATGGAACGATATGAGATCTACAACGACCTTCCAGCTAAACCACGCATCTTCGTTGTTGCTGTGGTCCCCACGTAAGTACGTAGACATTAGGTAGTTTTCGCCGCACGACGTTAACCTTAACTTTAACGTTAGTACCAAACGTGCAACGCGATAACTCCGCCCCTTTTGTAAACAAATCGAAATACGCATGCGCAAACCCGTAACTAACGTTTGTCGAGCACGTAAAATACTGAAATTAACATACTCTGCAACGCAAGATGAATAAATTATGACGTCATCCGTTAACGTTAAGGTCGTGCAGCCGTTGGTTTTGTATGCATAACAAGTGCGCACAAATCAGTCTTTGATAACATGCGTTTATGTTCAATTATAATTTCTGAGCAACACATTGAGCATGCGCTTAGATTGCTTTCTAAAAATAAAAATGCGCGCAAATAACCATTGCACGATTACACAGCAAACTAGTTTCGATATCGATGATAGTATTTTTAGTTTAGTAGTATTAAGGCCTAAGTTAAATGACCGTACAGTTCAAATTCGAAACACGTGTTGGGCCTTTAGCTCAATCGAACCGATAATCTAGCTTGATTCGCGAATCTCCACGTAGTCAACAGAGCGCACGACCACGACTACAGAAACGCAAGCAAGGTAAATTATCTAGGTCAAATTATGACAACGATGACTTTTACGATACTGATACTGATTACGGTACTGTGTCCTGTTTGGGCTCACTTGTTGTACTCAATTAACTGTACTAGTCAAATTGTTTTTCCTCACAAAAATGAACATTTGAAACGTGTGGAAGCATAGAGGCGACTTGGGTAACAGTTGTATGTTTTATTTTAAAATGTCGTATTTTTAATGCGTATGCAGGAGCGACACGCACGCCAGGAATTCTCTGACGAGGGGTTCAGCTCCCCGACAAGGGGGTCCAAGCTCCTCGATAAGGACTCCACCCCCTATCGCGAAAGCCTCCCCCACCCCAAATTGTGTTGATTATGGTTTTCTTTATTTATAAAACGATAATTTGATAGAAACCATGCAAGTTAAGAGGCCCCTGTGCGGTGTACATAACCACCTGTTAGAGGTACCAGCACCCCTGTCGGGGAAGATCTTACGCTACCACCGCAACCCATACGATCGCGATAGAATACAACACCTCACACATACGGTACCTCTGCTCGCATGTTAAATGTTAAATTTGATAATAATATAAATGTAATAGTACAAAATAAAATACTGTAATGTTACCGTACTGTACTGTATAATTCTATTTTTCTTTAAATTTATATTTGATTCATTTCAGTTACCAGGACAGCGGATTCAAGCATTTTTAAATGCTTGAGATCCGTTATTAATTGGGGCCTGCCACTGTTTGACGTTAATAATGTAAATGATACGGAATAATAATAATAATAATAATAATAATAATAATAATAATAGTAATAATAATAGTAATTTATCTAAATCGGAGGATTACCTTTTGTGTTATTTTCCCTTTAACGTCATGTTATTTTCCCCTTAACGTAATTGTTCACTAATTTTTCCATTGTTTAATTTCCCCTTAAGGTAGGTTTTAGTAACATAATAATAATAATAATAAATAATAATAATAATAATAATAGGCCTAACAATAATAATAACAACAACATAATATAGTAATAAACATAATATTATATTAATGATATTAACAGCAATTATATGAACAATAGGCCTATATTACTCGACATTATTTTTTTTATAATATAGCCTCTTTATCATGACAGTGAAAAATTGTTATTTCGTTACTGCATGTTACAATATCTTTGGATTCTGCAGGTAATCCTATCGTCGAACGGCTTCAAGCAATTCTTTAAATGATCGTCATGACGTCACGACAGGAGACTTGCAACGGAAGATGGATAACGTAACATTGAAAAGTAATGAACTCGACAATATTCCAGTGGGATCAACATTCCTACTTCTAACAACTAGCCTCGAGCTTCATGCAAATATGTATGTGATTAGATAGATCACACTGCTGTAAGCAAAATCGATGATGTTCAGGCGGTAAATGCCAAGAGAGGAGGCCTTTATACGACCGACATATTACAATTGTTCATTATTAATATTATTAATAATGAACAATTGTAATATGTCGGTCGTATAAAGGCCTATTACAATTGTTCATTATTAATATTATTAATATATTCAAATAATATGGAAGAAGACGACTTGAAGTAAGTGGATTTGCGATTGGTGTGAGAAGTTAAATATT